GTGAGAGAGAGGGTCACTGTGAGAGACTGTGAGAGAGAGGGTCACTGTGGGAGAGAGGGTCACTGTGAGAGTGAGAGTCACACTGAGACACTGTGAGAGAGCGGCTCACTGTGAGAGAGAGGGTCACTGTGAGAGAGAGGGTCACTGTGAGAGACTGTGAGAGAGAGGGTCACTGTGAGAGACTGTGAGAGAGAGTGTCACTGTGAGAGAGAGGGTCACAGTGAGAGAGAGGGTCACTATGAGAGAGCTAGTCACTGTGAGGGACTGTGAGGGAGAGGGTCACTGTGAGAGAGAGGGTCGCTGTGCGAGATTGTGAGAGAGAGGGTCACTGTGTGAGAGAGGGTCACTATGAGAGATCTGGTCACTGTGAGGGACTATGAGGGAGAGGGTCACTGTGAGAGAGAGGGTCACAGTGAGAGAGAGGGTCGCTGTGCGAGATTGTGAGAGAGAGGCTCACTGTGTGAGAGAGGGTCACTATGAGAGAGAGGGTCACTGTGCGAGGTAGGGTCACTGTGAGAGACTGTGAGAGAGAGGGTGACTGTGAGAGACTGGGAGAGAGAGGGTCTCTGTGAGAGAGAGGATCCCTGAGAGAGACTGTGAGAGAGAGGGTCACTGTGAGACAGGGGGTCACTGTGAGAGAGAGGGTTACTGTGAGAGACTGTGAGAGAGAGGGACACTGTTAGAGAGAGGGTTACTGTGAGAGACTGTGAGAGAGAGGCTCACTGTGAGAGAGATGGTCACTTTGAAAGACTGAGAGAGGGTCACTCTGAGAGAGAGGTTCACTGTGAGAGAGAGGGTCACTGTGAGACACTGTGAGAGAGAGCGTCACTGTGAGTGAGAGAGAGGGTCACTGTGAGAGAGTGGGTCAGTATGAGCGAGAGTGTCACAGTGAGAGAGAGTGTCACAGTGAGAGAGAGGGTCACTGTGAGAGACTGAGTGAGGGAGGGTCACTGTGAGAGAAAGGTCTTTGTGAGTGACTGTGAGCGAGAGAGTCACTGTGAGAGACTGTGAGAGAGAGAGTCACTGTTAGATAGCGGGTCACTTTGAGAGAGACCGTCACTGTGAGAGAGAGTGTCACTGAGAGAGACTGTGAGAGATAGAGTCACTGTGAGAGAGAGGGCCACTTTTAGAGACTGTGAGAGAGAGTGTCACAGTGAGAGAGAGGGTCACAGTGAGAGAGAGGGTCACTGTGAGAGAGTGGGTCACTTTGAGAGATTGTGAGAGAGAGGGTCACTGTGAGAGACTGTGAGAGAGCGGGTTGCTGTGAGAGAGAGGGTCATTGTGAGAGAGAGGGTCACTGTGAGAGACTGTGACAAAGAGGCTCACTATGAGAGACTGAGTGAGAGGGTCACTGTGAGAGACTGTGAGAGAGAGGGTCACTGTGGGAGACTGTGAGAGAGAGGGTCACTGTGGGAGACTGTGAGACAGAGGGTCACTGTGAGAGAGGGTCACTGGGGGAGACTGAGAGAGAGAGTCACTGTGAGAGAGAGGGTCACTGTGGGAGAGAGGGTCACTGTGAGAGAGAGGGTCACCGTGGGAGAGAGGGTCACTGTGAGAGAGAGTGTCACTGTGGGAGAGAGGGTCACTGTGAGAGAGAGTGTCACTGTGGGAGAGAGGGTCACTGTGGGAGAGAGGGTCACTATGACAGAGAGGGTCACTGTGAGAGACTGTGAGAGAGAGGGACACTGTGGGAGACTGTGAGAGAGAGGGACACTGTGGGAGACTGTGAGAGAGAGGGTCACTTGCTGCTCTGCATGTCTGATATTGCTCAGGTGAGTCTGTGAGAGCTGTTGTGTCTTTATGCTTCACCTCAAACTTTACCTGGTTAAACTCAAACTGGAACCAGGTCAGAAATCAGCCCTTAGAACAGTAAACCCTGGAACCTGACAGGAAACACAGGAATGGGCTGACTCCTCAGGGTACAGGGAGCACAGGGGCTTCAGGGAGTGTTCAGGGAGCAGGGGGAGTTTTGGGATTGAGGGAGCAGGGGAATTTTGGGATTAAGGGAGCAAGGGGAATTTAGGATTGTGGGAACAGCGGGAGTTTTGGGATTGAGGGGGCAGGGGAAGTTTGGGATTAAGGGAGCATGGGGAGTTTTGGGATTGAGGGAGTATGGGAAGTTTAGGATTGAGGGAGCAGGGACAGTTTGGGATTGAGGGAGCAGGGGAAATTTGGGATAGAGGGAGCAGAGGGAGTTTTGGGATTCAGACAGCAGCGAGAATTTGGGATTGAGGGAGCAGGGAGAGTTTGGGATTGAGGGAGCAGGGGGAGGTTTGGGTTTGATGGAGCAGGGGAAATTTGGGATTGAGGGAGCAGGGGCAGGTTTTGGGATTGAGGGAGCAGGGAGAGGTTTGGATTGAGCGAGCGGGGAATGTTTGGAATTGAGGGAGCAGTGGGAGTTTAGGATTGTGGGAGCAGGGGGAATTTGGGATTGAGGGAGTAGGGAGAGTTTGGGATTGAGGGAGCGGAGGATGTTTGGAATTGAGGGAGCAGGGGGAATTTTGGGATTGAGGGAGCAGGGGGAGTTTTCGGATTTGGGGAATTTGGGAATGGCAGGGTTTTCACTGTAGGGATGTGTCTCCCTGGGATGACTGGTGGATGGATGTGATCAGACATTAGTGAGAGAAAGAAGCAGAGACTGGGTCTAATAGAATGCCCAGCATACAAACTGGACAATAGGAAAATTCTCTCAGTCTGACATCCCCTTAGAATCCACTTTAATTATTCAGTTTTCTCTTCATCGAGATCAGGTACCAGCTGCTGCCTGTGTCCCAACCACACCATCTCCTTTCCACTGAGCATGTGCTGTATTCAATGAATTCACATCGCCTACTGGTTAAACAAAACCTAAATATTTCACTCTGGGTTCACATTCCCCCTCCAACCCACCCTCTGCACGACTGTCCCTCCCTGATATCCATCATTTGACCATGGGGGTCGATAGGCCGAACAGCCTCCGGCTGGGGCCTCATGCCGTACTGGAAAATGTTGGCTATGCTGTCTGTTCGTGCTGCCCCAGTGTCTGTAACTTAATCATGGCCCCAACTCGCTTCGATCCTCTTTCTCCTCCTATAAGATCCTCCTTCCAACATCCCTCTGATGCGACCCTGACAAATATTCACCTGCTTTAGGATTCAGCAAAATTATTTTTGATGCTTTTTGATGTCTTACTAAAGGTGCAGTTATTGGCATTTTGTCTGCAGGAGCCCAGTTTATAATTTGTGATAAACTTTGACCAACTCTGAAAGAAGCTGCAAGTTGTGTGGGTGGTACTGCCCCCTGCTGCTGAGAGTGAGATACGCCAGCCACACAGCACCTTGTTGATCTTCACAGCGACGTTCAGGGTAACACTGGGAAGGAATGTGAAGGAAAGGATCCCAGTCCAGGTTCTCCCCCTGCCACATTGCCCAGGGATATCCCTGTCCCATTCACACTGGGCATATTTAATGGAAGGCTTTCCCATCTCAGGCTGCAAGTTCACTCACACAGTTCATCCCAGCCCTGTCGGAAACTGACTGCATTGTTTACTCAGTCCCCAGTCCCACTGAGAGCCTGTTCACTTGTCCCCATCTCCTCTGACCTGCTCAGACCTGAAGGTGTTGGAAATAAAACTGATCGTTGTGACCCGACAGCAACCAGACCACAGGCCACACCACACTATCAGAACACACTCCCTCAGACACACTCCCTCATCACCCCACTCCCTCTACTCCTTATTCCTCCCTATCTCTGTAACCCTCTTCGGCCCCCCACATCCCTCCCTATCTCTGAAACCTTCTCGACTACATCCCCTCCCTATCCCTGTCACCTCCTCCAGCCCCTACACCCCCTCCCTATCCCTGTAACCTCCT